ACGGGGGTTGTCCGGTCAATGGCGCTGTACGGTGCACCGGTGTGGGCGGCGGCTCTGACCGCCCAGAATAGGGTACGCCTCTGGCGCCCTCAGAGGGTAATGGCGGTCAGAGCCATACGCGGTTACCGCACCGTTTCTACGGAGGTGGCAATGCGCGTTGGCCGGAACTCCCCCGTGGGATTTGGAGGCGGAAGTGCTCGCCGAAGTTTATCGGCGAGTGGCTGACTCCCGGGCGGAGAGCGGATTTCGCCCTCCGCCCGAGGATGTGCGCGAGTGGCGCGAAGCCGCTCGCCGAGCCACGATGGCTCGTTGGTCGTTCCGGCTGGAGACTCCACGCGCTGGCTTCGCCGCCGTGGAGGCTCTCCAGCCGGTCATCGCCGAGTGGGCAGGGCGGCAGCACGGGACCCTTTCCTTCCGACTGACGCAGGTGCTTTCCGGGCACGGTTGCTTCGGAAAGTACCTGCACACGGTCGCTAGGAGGGAACTGAGTCCCGCCTGCCACCACTGCGACTGCAGTGAGGACTCGGCCCAGCACACGCTGGCGGTCTGCCCCGCATGGGCGGCGCAGCGCCGGGCCCTCACTGCAGTCATCGGAGTGGATCTCTCGCTACCGGCCGTAGTACGCTCCATGGCCGGTAGCGACAGTTGTTTTACCGCGGTCGCAACCTTCTGCGAGGTAGTAATCTCGCGGAAGGAGGCGGCGGAGAGGGCCCGGGAGGACGACCTCCACTCGGACCCGATCCGCCGCCGGCGAACCGGGCGGCGGAGGCCCGCCTACCACAGCCTCATGCCGCCCTGAGTGTGGCCGCGGGTGGACGGGGTGGGTTTCCCCCACCCGCATTAGTTGGCCAGCCGCGAGGGGGCGGCGTCCGCGTGTGCCGGACGTCGCCTAAAGAGAGGAACATCTACATTGAGACGGAGCCCGCACCAGGAGCGGGCTGGCGCTAGGAGGGGTCCGGATGTCTTAACAACAGCTGTTCCCGGATCCCTCCTGTTACAGGCGCAGAGTGGCACACCGTGTGGTTTTAGTCGGTCCGAGTCCGACACACCACCCCGCCGCAAACCCCGGAGGGGTGACGGTCCGAGGGGGTTTGTGTCAAGTTTTCCTTCTCTCTGCAGTGCTGTTGTCCTGCGTAGTTTTTTCCCTTAGTCGGCTCTTACGACACCCACGGGATGAATAGGGGTGGTGACACTCTGTATTCTTATTCCGTCACCACACGGACCAACCTTACAACATAACAAAAAAAATATAAATATAAAATACACATTTGATATTTTTGCAATATTATCTATACATCTATACCTACTTACTAATTAATAAAGTGTCGGTTTGTAATGTCCAAATAATATTTTAGTACTACAGTTTAATACTATAGATAGTATTTTTACTCAGGAAAACCCTACGAAAATTTTCCCGGTCCGGAAATCGAACCTGAGTCCTCATGGACAACAGTCGCGTACCGTACTGCACCACTAAGGTAGCTCTTTTCAAATTCCACGCGAACGACGCCGCAGGCACCAGCTAGCCATAAATAAAAAAGGTAGTGAACAATTTGCGAAAGTAAAAAAAAAGTTGTGCACTTACATTATTGTTTAAAATACAACCTTGACTCACTAAACTTGCGATAACTTATTGATTAGATAAATCGTAGATAGCCTTCGCTGTATACTTATGATTATGCATTAACATACCTATTGTTGTAATAATCATCATACAGCATTTATGGTTCTCACTTGGGCAGGGCCCTCAAAAAGTCGATCAACATACTTACCTATCCAGTACTTAGATTAAAGAGTAGACATAGAAATTATTGCTACTTTTAAATCGTATTCATTTGATAAAATGATTGGGTTTAGTCACAGTGATTTCACACGTGATAGGGATTCCTCATAATAATAATAAGAAATTTATTTCAGACATTCGTCCATAAATGTGTTAGTAACTGTCATCTTACAACTATGTTAGTTTTACATTACAACAAAAACAAATTACAAAATAAATCGTGGGGATGCGCTAGCGTGCAGACGCATCCACCTTTGTATGACTGGAAGGCCCCACCTCTCGGACAGTACTCTCAGTCAGTCATAGACAAAGATAAATGGCATTAAAATCAATCAAAACGTTTTTTTTTCAAAGATTACGACTTTTTTAGATAGACCTTTTGCGATCGCGAGTCTTGCTCTAGCGTATAATAATTAACTAGCAGTGGTTTCGTAAATCATTCACAGGTCTGATATTATGATTAACAAGTCATATGATTTATCACTTGTTACCTGAAGTACATCTTGATACCCGAAGAGATTAGTAACATCTTTCATTGCACTGCACGGATGGCGTAGTGGTCACTTCACCGCTTCCCACTGCGCCGAGTGTTGTGGATTTGATCCCCACACGGGAGAACACTTTGTGTAATCGATAAATTGTTGCTCTGGCTGTGGGTATTCTTTGTGTCCGTTTCATGTATGTCTGTAAAGTCTCCCGAGACACAGGATATATTCCTGTTCCTGGATAGCAATTGCCTTTTAAAAAAAACGAATAATAAGAAAGCCAAAGATAGTACTGAATAGAAAATGATAATCGAGTTATTTCTTTAATATCTATTAATTGTGCCTGATACGTATAATTCTATGTAAATAATGCTTTGTTTACATTAATATTAGGAAATGGATCGAAGAATTGCGAGGTCAAGCTAATTGTTTCAATTGGTGGTTTTTAATTAGAAATATTTTAAAATAAATTTGTTTGTAAATTAAACGTTTGTGTTCTTTGTTAGTCCCCGACAGCGTCTAATAACAGTAGGATACGAAAATCTTTGAGAAACATTACCTTTCTCCTTAAGTGGGATAAAAAACAGTAATGATGGTGATCCCACTTCCCAGACGTGTGCATGTCTACCACAATCAGGAAGACTAAAGAAATGTAATACGAATTTAAAACTGAGAATATAAACGTGTCTACCGTTCAAGTCGCGGTGAACTCCGAAGACATGGTGTTACTATAATTAGCTAAAAGAGACATTCTCAATATGTTTGTAATATAATTAGAAGTTATTAGTGACAGTTCATTAACTGTCACCATATTTAACATAGCTTTTAATAGCAATAGAAAATGGTGGTAAAATGACAGTAAATAGATGATATCATGTATATATATTCATTTAAATGGGGTTATTACTAATTTTTAATAAGTTTAACTAATTCCCCAAAACCAACATGGTAAATATATATTAAGATTTAAATACAAATTATACAGTAAATCAAAAAAATAGACTAAACTTACCATCGTCCAGATTACAAATGCATGCATCAAGCCCCTATCCATAAAGATATATAATAAATTATGCAAAATAATATTAAAAATGAACAAATATTTAATACGTTTATTAACATTAAACGATCTTTTAATACAAAAATCATCATGTAAATGAATAGCTAAACGACAAAGTTGAATAATTAACATAACATATAACTAGAAAATAAGTTTAAAAAATTATATTAATAATATACTTTAAAAACAAATTAATAAAATAATATTGTACCATAACATAATATTTACTAAAATACATTTCAATGTGCTTACAATGGATGAAAGAATGTTTGCTATTCTCTCCTAACTTTGCCGTGCCAGATAGGATCCACAATTGTTTCTTTCTACATTTATAAGACTTGTTTAGAGTGCAATAAAGAAATTAAATATCATTTCCAGTATGTTCATTTATATTAATGTGCAAAGAAGAATGATTATATTATCAATTGCATACATTACTCGTACAATATCACAATCTATACGACCTACTTACATTGTAATCTTTAAAAGGATTTTGGTAAGCATAATGACCTTCCGCTAATTTAAGGCCCCGCTGTAGTCCTGAAAGTCCCTCACCACACGTTACATAAAGTTGAAGATAGATATAAGAACTTGATTATGACCTACTTGTCGTGAAGAACGATATAGATACGAGTATTATTGGACACTAATTTAGTCGACAAATTCTTTTAGAAACGACAAAAACAGTATGACTCGACTGAACATTTTTGTTTTTTGATGTTTCATAGCGTTTTATAACTTTGATTTTTCTTTTTCTTTTTTTTTAAAAGACGACTTTCGCATTAGGAACACAAAGTGGTATCCCATGTGGGGATCGAACCCGTAACACTCAGCGCACTAGGAAGCGGCGTGGCGACCGCTTAAACCACTACGCCAGCCGTGTACCCTCCTTAACGTATTCTGTCTAATTCAAAAATGATTATTGAAATTTGACTTATTTGAATTTGATTATTCCCGAGATTAGTGGGTTTATACTAATGATAAAGAAATAGATAGATTGATTAGATAGACAGTGTAGATTTTACTCAGAGTATGTATGTGGTGGAAATTTCTGATAGGACTTACAAATTGGAACTGCACTTGTATGTTGCACGTTTAATATGAGAAATTTTGTACAATTCATCAGCAGAATTAAATTTAAAATACTGTTTAGGGTGGCTTCTATTCGAGGCAGAAATCAGCTATAGCTAGCCCTACCCCTCTATATACTGGTTCCAAAGTACACTATTGTCAAACGTCAGGTGACGGAATGACATTACCCGTGTTCATCCCATGGGTGTCGTTAGAGCCGACTAAGGGAGCAAATTACGCAGGACAACAGCACTAAAAAAGTGGAGAACTTGAAACAAAACCTATATTTATTTATTTACACAACTTTATGCACTCTTGGTTGCATTATAATTTAACTAAAATATACACAACACAACACTACATACTTAGATCTATATACAAATATATACACAACATTTATATATACATTTACACACACACATATATTACCCGGCCAGCGTAGACCAAAACCTTTTTTATAAGGAGAAGCCCATGTCCAGCAGTGGACTGTATAAGCTATTGATGATGATGATTGTCAAATTGATCCATTTGTGAAATTCACAATTGTAAATTGCATTTTATTGACTTTGTGTGTGATAATTTTTATTTCTTATTTACTCAGGTGATAGTCGAGTCGCACAAAGAACTTCGTTGTCCAGAATGCAGAGTCCTAGTGGAGACCAAGGTGGAGGAGCTGCCGCCGAACGTGCTCCTAATGAGGATCCTCGAGGGCATGAAGAACTCTGCTCCGAGGAAAATTATCACTGGACAACGAAATTCCAGGAGTGGGCATTCACAGGTAAGAAGGAAAATGTCTTGAGCAGTATAGTTCCATTCGCGTTAAGAAAATAGTGACAGGTGCTAGCGATTCACATTATACTACAGGTATTATTCTCGGGAACACGTGGGTCAGAGAATAAAAATAATATTATGTTAACAATGTAATAATTTTGTAATGGTTATGATGCTAAAAATACATTCTTGGCGGTAAATGAGTGTAATATGTTGTATGTACACGATCTTGGTAGAGATGTATTTACCCATGCCAGAACAATCATATCAGTGCGCAACAGTTTGCACAATTATGTCTATTTCTGGTCCACCCATTCTGGCTTTTCCACAGCTAACGGACTTTTCTAATTAGGAATACTGTTGCAAAAACTTGTCATCGAATATTGGAAAGCATCCTTTGTCTCAAGTTAAAGTTCAAACTCGATTCCTTCCTTTATATTAGGCCTTTACCTATGAAATTGCCGTTTTGTATGCAATAAGTGAAAGTACTTATTTTTTCAAACTTTTTTATTTCTGTTATTCGAAGTAATCACCCATGCAATCGACGCATCTTTTCCAACGCATTGGCAGTTTATTGATAATAAAGTAATAGTCGGTAGGTGCAAGGTCTGGTGAGTATGGCGGATGAGGGAGAGCTTCCAACCCCAGCTCTTGCAGCTTATAGACTGTCTGTTGCGCAGTATGGGGTCGCGCGTTGTCGTGAAGGAGCAGTGGGGACGACCCCCGAAATGATTACATTCCCATGGAGGGTAGGCAGCCAGCCATAATACCACATTGTGTGACGGTGAATTTCTTTGTATACATTTTAAGGTCCAACAAGGTGTGCAGTTGGCTGGACGGGACGGTAAGCAGCTGCCTCCACACGGAAGGGCCTTGTATGACTACATATCTAAGGAGCCTGGGTAAGGGTATTAATAATCTTCTCGATATAATGCGACCATAATCAGGTCGTAATATATATGTTACTACCCGAACCTTTGGTCGCGTGGAATTTGAAAAGCGCTTCCTTAGTGGTGTGGTACGCGACTGCTGTCCATGAGACCTCAGGTTTGATTCCCTGACCGGGCAGAGTTTATAGGGTTTTTCTGAGAGGAAAAATAGCCTAAGTTATTCCTTATACAGACTTACAGATGGGTCTAACCGTTTAGAAGATGAAGACTGACTGACAGATTTTAACTGGTTTTATCTTACAATTAACCGTGTGAGCATGAAAAATACCTATTGTTTTGACATTACAAACAGACATTGCAATTTTATTTATTTATATAGATGAACAAATCATTTAAGTGCTACAAAGTAAATAAAATGTTATCACAGCGTTACATGAATGTAGTCGCATACTGTATCCTATTCACAAAAATAATCATGTTTAATGTAATTAGGTAATTTGAACGAGTTCTTTGATACTTCTGTATGTAATACGAGTATGAGCTCAAAGACTGTGGGAACAGTAAATAATACACATTATTTATTCATTCTAGTTATGATTGCCTTCGGTGACTAGATAACATAAGACTAGCCAGACCAATCAGTTTATTTGTAATGACAGAATAATAGGTATTTTCATGCTCACTTTCATTTCATTTACACAGTACCTATGCCTAAAAACCAGTTTAATTTTTATTTGTCTGTCTGTCTGTTTGTGCCGGGTAATCTTCTAAACGGCTAGACCTGTTTTGATAATATTTTACTACCAGGTAGCTGTATGTATGAGGAGTAACTTAAGCTATTTTTTCTCTCAGAAAACCCTGTGCCCGGCCCATGAATCGAACCCGCGTAAGCAGCGCTTTTTAAATTACACGTGAACGAAGTCGCGGGTAATAGCTAGTCTATACATATAAAATTACTTGCCCTGACTTACTGATAAATCAGAACCCAAACCGCTGGGGCTACAAACTTGAAGTTTTGGCAGCTGATGTTTTTTTTATTTTGTAAGCACCCACTGTACGATCAAACCCGCACATTTGTAGTAATTAACGAAATTAGCCTGCGTTCACGCATTTTTATTGCATAGGCACTAACTTTACATACTTAATTTTTATCATTATCTAGTAGCAATAAAATCATTCGGTAAAGTTGTCTACTCATTTATCAAAGTAGCAACCTATCAGTAATGTTAGGGAAACTACCCCTACAGTAATGGTCCTTCGAGCGGGATTAATCTAGCAACCTATCAGTAATGTTAGGAAAACTACCCTACAATTAATGGTCCTTCGAACCGAATGGAGTAAGCCTTTTTTTAAAGACTACTACCGCTCTAGGAATATATCCTGTGTCACGTGGGACTTTACAAACATAAATGAAACGAACACAAATAAAACCCAGACTTATAAAAACAATTTGCGGATTACACAAAGTGTTGTCCCGTGTCGGGATCGCACCCACAACACTCAGTGCAGTAGAAGCGACGAGGCTATCGTAAACCACTGCGCCATCCGTGCAGTCATTCCTTTGGGGATACAGCTGTCAGTGTATTATGTAACTCATATAAATAGGTTCATCCGTTTTAGAGTTCAATACCACAGACTAACACACAAACACAACTTTTATCAATTCGCCTCAAGTATCTATTAAATTCTAACACGCAACTACGTACACAATATGAGTCATTTTTCTGAATAAGATCATTTATTGACGATTAAGGATAGGTTAGTTAGAAGTGTGAGAACCACTTAACTTCTATTGGTATAAATAAGTTGCATCGTCTCGATGAGTCATCTCCTGCCGATGTACCTACTGTGCTCTTATTGGGCCATAATTAAGGGAGTGTGTCATACAATTTCGTTATAATAACGTTACTCATCGTCACCTGTTGGAAGATTTCAATGAGAATTTGCAACCTCAGGTGCATTTCGTGTTATCAACAAACATTGATTTCTTTTAATTTGTGTTGAAATGATCTTAACTGATGTTAATACTTACTATTGTTCGCGTTTTTGAAAAGGACGAACTTCCATACAACCATTTATCCTTTATTTTATCCCTTAAGGGGTGAAATTTCCAAAAATCCTTTCTTAGTGGGTGCTTGCAACATAAAAAGCCTCAGCTGCCAAAATTTCAAGTTTGTAGCCTCAGAGGTTTAGGCTCTGCATTGATGAATCAGTCATTCAGGATTCACGATCTTATAATAAACTAGCTGAAACCCGCGGTGTTACCCGCGTTTGTTGTTATAACCGCGGGCAACGCCGCGGGGCGAAGCTAGTCTAAAAAAAAGTAGCCTAAGTTACTCCTTATGTCATCAGCTATCTGCCAGTGAAAGTCCCGTCGAAATCGGTCCAGCCGTTCCACAGATTACCCGGAACAAACAGACAGACAGACAAAAATTGTAAAAAATGTTATTTTGGCATATGTACCGTGTAAACATACATATGCATTTAGTAAAAAGCGGTTATTTTAATATTACAAACAGACACTCCAATTTTATTTATTTGTATAGACTAGCCGGTGAGAGAATTTAAAAAGCGCTGTCTTAGTGTGTTCGATTCCCGGACCGGGGAAAATTTTATAGGGTTTTTCTTAAAGAGAAAATAGCCTAAGTTACTCCTTATATAGACAGATGCCTGTTAGGAAAATATTATCAATATCGGTCAAGCCGTTTTGAAGATTACCAGGAACAAACAGACAGACAGACAAAAAATTTAAACTGGTTTTTAGACATAGGTATCGTGTAAATAACCGTGTGAGTATGAAAAAACCTATTAGACACTTAAAATTTATTCATTTGTATAGAAAACCTCCAAAACGAACTACGAAGATTTTTTTAACTTATCCTTAAGATAATCATAATTGATATATTTATTTCAGAGACCTATCCTTCAAGAAAGGCGAAACGATTCTGCTTCAGAAGAAACTGGATCCGTTTTGGTATCAGGGAGAGTGTTCGGGTAGAACTGGCATGTTCCCAATCGCCTATGTACAGGTTCGTATTGGTTTGCATAGTATCAAGTAAGAGCCTTACAGCTGTAGCTTAAGCAAAATTTGCCGGCCGGTAGCGTATTGATCAATGGCATTCCTCAATGGTTTTGTGCGTGTAGCAACGCTTTCGGGCCTTCACCCCACTGGGGTTTTTGGCAGAGTGCTGTTACAGAATCAATTTGAATACAGGCACACCACTATGGGTTTTTTTTTAATTATCTATGTAAACTTTATAAAAAAAAACTTTTTTTACAAATACTATACTGCAATACTTCAGTTACTAATCAACCAACGACAAAAGCAAAACACAAAACAAACTATTTATTAATCTTTGTTAGTATTTGCATGCATAGAAACACTAATTCACAATGGATTATCAAATTTCACAGTAGAGTCGGCAACGAAAGTATTTAGAAAATATGCAAAACTTCTAACTAATTTGAGCTCTAATAACATTAATTTTAGAATGGTGTCAATTTGTCGGCTGTGCTGTACATCAGAGTACATAATAACCTCAGACATCTCCCACACGCTCGTCTGATCCCAAACTAGACAGAGCCTGTACTATGGTAACCAGACTGATAATAAACATACATGCTTAAATATTTCTAAATACCCACATATTATCGATAAATCACACCCAGACACAGAACAAATGGTCGTGCTCATCACACGATTATTTGTCCTGGGTGGTTATCGAAACCACGACCTATGGCTTAATTATTATCACAAACCCCTAGGCCAACATATACATATCATAATAGAACAACAATACAGACAAACCGACGAATCTGGGACCACGGTCTCGGATTCCTTTTTTGATACAATAATTATTTTTGAGTAGTATATATAGTAGTATAGAGTCCGTGTGGTGACGGATTAAGAATACAGGGTGTCACCACCCCTATTTATCCCGTGGGTGTCGTAAGAGCCGACTAAGGGAAAAAACTAGAACAACAGCACTGCAGAGAGAAGTAAAACTTGACACAAACCCTGTACCAACCTGTCTGGCCAGCGTGGTATAATAGGCCAAAACCTCCTTTCTAAGGAGAGGCTTATGTCCAGCAGTGGACTATTAAACGCTGTTGATGTGCTGATGTGACTGACAAATAATTCAGACAGGACGTCAGTAGCCGTTCATTTCAATGACAAAAAAGAAGTCTTATTGTCCCGTTACAAAATGCGTACTTCGCAGGTAATGGTGTGTGAAAACTGGGCTCAGCGGAGCACTTCTCGAGTCGCTTGGAGGCGTTAATTGTTGTTTGGCTTGAATGCGCTTTATAATTTGTTGCTAAGGACACTCGCAGTAATATAATACTGCTTCTATTGTATTCAGCGTTAGCAACACAATATAATTCTGTGAATTACTTATTGGTGTAGGTGTCTGCATACACTGACTGTTGTGTCTCGTTATCTAAATTGTAGGTACTTAGGTTTCTTTACTAATACAAATTTTAAAGTTCGGACGCGGTTCAAATAGGGGAGGGGTTTCATAGGGGACATGACCCTGTGAAAATCCCAAAATTGCTCACGCCAAAGTGAAAAATCTTCTAAAAATTTAAGAAAATAAAACACAAAAACAAACAATACAGTGAAACATTACGGAGATCATTTACGAGAGGCGTGAGAGCAAATTTTATTAGAGGAGAGGCTCACAGGTTTAGCTCGTTTTAATATTCGTCCCGAGATGACTCAGACGTCTCAAATATTATCACCCAATTTTCCAATGTAAATAAAAGACGTCCATTTGTTTTGTCTGTATTAAATGGTTAAAATTAATGTACACTCAGCAATAAAATCCGAAAAGGACTTCTTCTTAAAAGGCCGGCAACGCGGTTTTGACTCCTGAGTTGCAGACGTGCATGGGCGGCGATGGTCACTTTCCATCAGGTGACCCGTCTGCTGAAAAAAGACGTAATGAAAATGAAAATTTTATCTTCATTGAATTTAAATATAGTAAATTTGAATGTTACAGGTTGTAATACCGATACCTGTGGCCACACCGCTGTGCAAAGCTCTCTACGACTTCCGGATGTCAGCACCAGAGGAGGAAGGATGTCTGGCGTTTGACAAAGGTACGACATTACACCGTTTTACATGCTTTTATTTAACTAGCCATGTTTGTTCCGGTCAAATCTCGCAACTGAATTTGAAAGCAGTTATGCTAAATTCATACTCGTTTGGTTTGGATAACAATAAATAAAATTATGAAAAAAAAAACTTGACTGCTAAAAATGTACAAACTAGCGATTTTAGTTTTTTCATATACCCAGTGTCAATCTCACAATTAGGAGACGAATATCACGATACCTCTTTACACGCCAAAATGCATTAAGTCATTTAGACCACAGTGTGCTAAAAAATATACATACATACATTTGAAAAACATAATCCTCCTTCTAGCGCTGTCGGGTAAAAAACTAGCAGTCTGTTGATGAACCGCATAAAAAAGATACTAAACTGTTCTGACTTTTTGAATGTATACAGATAGTGTTGGTCAATCAATTCAAAATTATGTCCATCCAATTCCATATAAAGAATTAAAAAAATATTAATCTGGTGTCTACGATCCGCCATACCGCCGACATTAGCTTAGGTTTTTATTGAAACTAAGATGCAATCGGGCCGCCATGCCGCGATTGAGGGGGGAAGTGTTCTCCCCTGGGATAGGGCCTGGTTAGGTGTCAATTCGGGGAGGAGATGAATGGTCCTCCCAGAGTAGGACACCTGAGGCCGGCCATCGGGGTGGTTTTTAGTTCCACATGCTCCTGGCTCCTGAGGTCCCGAGGAGGAGGAGATCCGAAGGGATTTTTCACCCCGTCAACAAAAAAGAAGGGATAGTGCAGTCTAGTTGAAGTCTAAGTATTTACTTTGTTATTTACAGGTGCAATAATAACAGTTCACCGCCGCGTAGACGACAACTGGGCGGAGGGACGGCTGGACCAGCGCGTCGGCATCTTTCCCATTGCGTTTGTTGAGCTCAACCAGTCCGCACGACAACTGATGAACAGGTATTTTATCTATACTGATATACTCAAGATCAAAAAATTATTGGTTTGTTAGATAGCGTCATTTTGTATAAAACTACTCTGTCAACGTTGTTTATGTGATAAATAAATGAAAAAAAAATTTAATGTTTCGAGTCAGAGGAAATTCAGCCTAAAAAACGAGCAAGTCTTATATTCAAATAGGATGTTTAATATCAGACATCTCACCGCTCTATAACCGCGCGAATTAGATTTGACTTCCTGATTAATCGTATTTGATTTCCTTCTTGTAACACACTTCCGTCCCTTACCATGATCAATCACAATCACAGGTAAGCGAGAGGAAAGGGTGTTACACAGTGAAAATGTAATTAATTCGGTCCACACGAATTTGTAGGTTTTTAGGTGTCTTTGCCCAAAACACTCTGGTTCCTTCTGATTATTAAACGTACAGATGTATTCATCTATGACTTGTGTTAAATAATGTAAAATATAGTCCGTGTGGTGACGGATTAAGAATACAGTGTCACTACCCCTATTCATCCCGTGGGTGTCGTAAGAGCCGACTAAGGGAGTAAACTACGCAGGAAAACAGCACTGCAAAGAGAAGGAAAACTTGAAAAAAACCCTATACCAACCCGTCCGGCCAGCGTGGTATAGTAGGCCAAAACCTCCTTTCTAAGGAGAGGCCTATGTTCAGCAGTGGACTAGTAAAGGCTGTTGATGATGATGATGATGAATGTAAAATAAAGGAATATAAAAAATATATATCATTTTGCTCACTGACCTTTTTCAATGAATATATCAAGCTTCCACATCGCTGTCAGGCGGTTTGAGTGCATGAATGAAACTAACATGAGTTAATCTGTACATCCTTTATCAGTATAGCTAATACTAATCCCTATAAATAAAATATTAGAAGAGAAAATCAATCAATGAATAATATGATGGTTACAGTATTTCGCTGAACCGTGCCGTGCCTCCAGTACCAGATCACGCTCGTCCATCGCACTCGGAGCATCGACATCACGCCCAGGTACCTACTGATTTCTTATTAAAAGGTTTTTACTTGACACTTCCAGTTCTAATTGATTTTTCTGTGAAGTGGAGTATGGTTATTTTAATAACATTTTTATTTTTCAGAAAGTCAATCAATATTATTTTAATAAAAACTACAAAAACAATTTAAATATATTCCCTGGTCCAAAATACTTCGCCTGTTTTGTAACTGCATTTTTTTTTATTGTGTACTCGATGAACGCAGGAGTTTAGCAGTCATAGAAAAAAATAGTAAAATAAGTTTTGTATGAACTCGTTACGATTGTGTACTAAAAGTATAATTTTTCAGTATTTTTTTTCTATTACAGCATAATCATCGATACCAACAAATGTCTTTGTCCACTCCAACTACTGCTCAAAGCAATTATCAAAATATGGCGACGATGAGCCAGTCTCATCCTAACTACCACGCAACACAGCAAATGTTGTCTCAACAATCGCAAATACTGCTGCCAGTCAACCAACACGCCAATATCACCTCTATTTCTCACGGCGGTCTGGTGACCACTACCGCCGTACCGAGAAACATCATGGAGCCAAGTCAAACGAAACATTCATTGGACTTGATACAATTCACAAACATGCACAACAAGTCCCACCAAGGAACAATGGGAATACAAAGCGTTTCAAGAATCAACGAGAATTACGATCGACTTCGAACAGTCAAATATGACAGCTACAACACCACACCAGTACATAAGGTCGAAACCACATATCAGAATGTCAGGACGCACGAACATTTACCTGTGTCTGTAGCCAATTTTAACACCAGCAATGTCTCTTCGGACTCCAGTTCTAGTATGAACACACCCTCAGTCGGAATCAGTTCCACCACGACTCCTAACACTAGTTCGAACACTAGTACTTGTGAGAGCGCAGAGCCGAGCTTGCCCAGCTCGCCTGATAATAATACAGAGCGAAATGCGACCGTTGTCGCTTGTAATACGACTCAAAATCAAACAGAAGAAATCAACAACGACGAGTCACTCGACACTTCGATGGGAGTGTTGAGTTTGAACGAGAGTTCAACAGCAACGAACACATCCTTGAACGTTAGTTTGCCTCCGTCTGAGAGTCCAAAATTGAATGCGTCTGGTGCTAGTAACACGTCACAAAGTCAAAATGAACCTCAAGAAGGTGCAAGCAATAGTGAACCTTCGAGGTTGGATGCCCCATCGTCAAGTAAGACTGTTTTGCGCTCCAGTGGGCCGGATTCTTTGTTGAATTTCGGTCTTGGGCTGCAAGCGGCGCTATCGCCCTCTCACGGCAAAGAGGGGAATTACATGGTGACGAGAGCGCATAGAGATCATCACCACAGAGATAGAGAAAAGAGACACAGTTTGACGCCCTCGACGCATTTGCAAGCAAATCACAATACGCAAAATAGGTGAGTCAGCACATATAAACTTATTTTCAAATCAATTGTGTGTTTCACAAGTTTTTGGGAATTGCAATGATTTGTTTAAACATCAGAGCTCACAAATACCTGAATTATTTACAATAAGTGAAGGGTGGTTATTTATGTAACCTGCGATAGTTATAGTCTAGACTAATTAAAATATTTCCAGTAGAATAAAGGTCATCTTAGGATAGATATGTATATAAATATATATTGCTATATTTATTCGATTAGTGTCTAGAGACACCCCTAAGTAACACCTACTGGAGAAAGAACTCCAGTAGTGTCAGTTACGCGTTGTATAATTATCATTATCATGTTTTAAATTCATTCACTAGTTACGTAAACTAGTGAAAAAGTGGTGGAAAAGAGATGCACCTCAATGTTGTATTATTTCTTGGCTTTAGGAACATAAATTTAGTTTTTAAACAACTATAGTGTAAACTTCATATTAGGGTAAGAAAATTCAACTTCGTTCTGACTCCATTGTCAGACCACCGCTACTAAGACTAATCTATTGGACTCGTCAAAACGAATTGATTTGACTGCACGGCACTGCGGTCACCTCGCCGGTTCCTACTGCTACTGAATGTTGTGGGTTCGATCCCCACATGTGACAATACTTTTAATTTTTTGTGATTAATTGTTGTCTTGAGTCCGTATGTTCATTGTGGTTGATTCATGTATGTATGGTAAAGTCCCCCGCGACACTGTAAATATTCCTAGTGCGGGCGTTGTTTATAAAAAAATAATTCAATAACATTCGTTGCACGTCTTTAATATCAGCCATTAACATTTATTGAAAAATTATCTAATTAGGTGAACTGGTGAAAAAGCGAATAAATTTTCACCTCGCATCTCTAAGACGAAATTTTCACAGACTATTGTATGTAGAATGTTATATTATTTTTTTAGCTTAAGTAAAAAAAAAATACCAGTATCGTAAACTTCTCTTCTCCTTCTTTCTGACTCCATCGTCAGACCATCGCTACTAAGACTAATCTATAGGTCTCTTCAGAACGAATCATACTCGAGACGCTTAGATACGCACCCAAGATTTGATATCATAGTTAGTAAATAGTGAATAATAATGAATATTTAGCAGACACTCGGCGGAGATAGTCGCGACCAGCCTGCTGGACGCGGCGAGCGACGTGCGCGAGCGTCGCCGGCGCCGCTCCAAGAGCAACGAGCGCCCGCTGCCCGCCGACTACATCGCCATCTACCCCTACAAGCCGCAGAAACCCGACGAGCTTGAGCTCAAGAAGGGAGGTCAGTCACTCGACTATCGTTATATCATCGACAGCCTTTAATAGTCCACAAGTATTATTATACCGCATCACGACGACAGCCCATGATAGTCCACTGCTGGACATAGGCCTCTCCACTGAAGGGAAGTTTTGACCTACTATACCACCCTGGCCAGACGGGTTGGTATAGGGTTTGTTTCAAGTTTTCCTTCTCTTTGCAGTGCTGTTGTCTTGCGTAGTTTTCTCCCTTAGTCGACTTTTACGACACCCACGAGATGAATAGGGGATGGTGACAATCCGTATTCTTAATCCGTCATCACACGGATAATAATAGGCTATGAAATTGCCGTTTTATTTTTTCAAACTTTTTTATTTCTGTTATTCGAAATAATCACCTCATTATTATGGTTATTGATGTTTATTGATGCCCTTCTTGTAAAAATCAGCTGGACGGGAGGCAACAAACTCTTCAAAGACATTTTGTACTGCCTCTCGGGAATTGAATTTGTTACTCACTAAAAAGTTGTGTAAATTTTGGAAAAAGCAATAGTCGGTAGGTACAAGGTCTGGTGAGTATGGCGGATAAGGGAGAGCTTCCGACCCCAGCTCTTGCAGCTTGGAGACTGTTTGTTGCACAGTATGGGGTCGCGCGTTGTCGTGAAGGAGCAGTGGGGTCGACCGATTGACCAAAGCTGGTTGCTTGGTAATAACCAGACCTTGCACCTACCACAAAATGCCTTTGAAGAGAGACAGCGACTGGTGAAGATTTAGGTTCGGGCCAATCGCAGCGCCCAACGCGCTCATCGTGACGATTAAGTAGATGTGAAATAAACTCACACTTGGGCCTTTGTTCTCTTATTATATTCTGAAAGGCATTCACCGAGTTAGTGAGGTTGGCAAAGCTCAAGCCCTGATTCCCCTGATTCTGGGGCGGAGGGACTGAAACGGTGGCAATAGTGCATCGTCTCTTGAGCTGCAGGGGTCTATGGGCGGTGGTAGACACTCAACATCAGGTGACCCGTCTGCTTTTTTGCCACTATACTATAAAAAACGTTTAAAAGTTGTAAGAAATATTGTTATCGGTCGTGTTGTTGGAAGTAGTAGATTGTATGTGATGGTGGTGCGGTGTCGGCAGGCGTGTACACGGTGACGGAGCGGTGCCGCGACGGCTGGTACAAGGGCTGCTCGGAGCGCTCGCAGCGCTGCGGCGTGTTCCCCGGGAACTACGTCGCGCCCGCGCCGCTCGCCAGGAACAAACACGACAAGGTACTCCATATACATCCTTGTTTTGCTTTGTTGGGGTCGACACAGTCTGCAATTTGGTTGATTTCTTTTAAGAGACTGATCACTTTTAACATTGATTTTTACGTAAAATGGTTGACTTTTGCCTTCTTATTCTGATAAACTTTAAATCATCAACATATTTAACTTTTTGGAAAATGTAGAACAGTTATTATTGTAGATCATAGCGGCTACATTTTTCTTAATTTTGTCGTAATTATATAGACAAACTGAAAATTCTGAATTGTTTCACAGTTTAAGCAACTACACTTTTTTGAGCTTATGGATTAAACGACAATACCAAGCAAGAAAATTATAATAATGTTTCTTACTCATATAGTTCATAACGGATTTAGATTCTTTGAATCGTTTTAAGATGGAATGGATGGAAATATGGAACTAAGACTGCAAAAGCAAAATGAAGACGCAATTATTTTACTTTTTGTTAAGGCCCTCGCACTAGGTTTAAGCAATAATGAGTGTTAAGAGTGCCAATAATATTTAACACGTGCCTATTTTGAAATATTCAGATTAATTATGCCAGAGCAATTGTAGTTCAAAGATACGAGGGGTGATCAATAAGTAATGATAATCAATATGAAACAGAACTATTAGATTAAAAAAAGTATTTTATTTTTCAGCATAGTCTCCTTGCAAGTTAATACATTTAGTGTATCTTTTTTCTAAGCCCATGATTCCCTTAGAAAAAAATTCTTTGTCTTGACCCTCCCAAAATGCCTCTACTGCGGCCATCACTTCACTATTGTCCTCAAATTTGTTGCCCCCGAAGGTGTTCTTTGAGCCGAGGAAAGAGGTAGAAGTCACTGGGAGCTAGATCTGGCGAATAGGGAGGGTGTTCGAGCAGTTCGAACCCCGTTTCTTCAATGGCAGCCATCGCAACTGCGGCTTTGTGAGCCGGGGCGTTGTCTTGGTGAAACAGCACTCCAGCGCGCAGTTTACCGCGTCTTTTTGACTTAATAGCTTCTCGCAATCTTCTTATTTGGCCTGCGTAGTAAGAGCCTGTTATAGTGGCCCCCTTTTCCAAATATTCCACCATAATAATTCCTTCTGCATCCCAGAAAACAGACGCCATAACCTTTCCCGCTGAACTTGACACTTTGAATTTCTTCGGCGTTGGTGAGGAAGCTCGTTTCCAAGTCATTGATTGTTGTTTGGTTTCGGGATCAAAGTGGTGGATCCAGGTCTCGTCCATGGTCACAAAACGCGACAAAAAAAATTCTTTATCGGCCTGGAACTTTTGAAGATTCACCCTCGAAATGTCGACTCGTTTCTTTTTTTGCTCGTCGGTTAACATTCTCGGTACCCAACGCGCAGAGACCTTTTTTCATATGCATTTTGTTGACAATGATTTTTTGAACGCTGCCATAGGAGATCCCTGTGATCTCAGCTACATGCCTTACGGTCACCCTTCGATCGGCCAACACGATATCTTCCACTTTTTTGACGTTTTCTCCAGTAAGGGACGTGGAAGGGCGTCCCTCGCGATGTTCATCTTCAGTGAAGGTTCTGCCCAGCTTAAATTCCTTTGCCCAGCGTGCGACTGTGGAATATGGAGGAGCAGACTCCCCCAATGTTTCCTCTAAGTCGCTGTGTATGTCTTTGGTAGACATTTTTTTCAGGCAGAGGTACTTGATGACAGCTCTTATTTCATTTTTCTCCATTTTGATGTTTTCTCTTCGACAGTTCGTATTCAAATGAATGTATCTCCCGGTAATGGTGTCCTATTTATACATTTTTTTGAAGCTGAAGTAGTGGATATATAAGCAAGCAGAAAAAAAAAAAATTGGGTTTTTGTGCGTTCTAGAAATACTCGATTATCATTACTTATTGATCACCCCTCGTATACATATTAATAGTGTTCTAATATAACAATTCCATAAAGTGTATTACATTGTAAAAGGAGATTCAAAAGTTAACTGTAGGTTTTATTGAATGCCATCTCAATTTCGTCCATCGATTTGTTGTTAAAAGAAGGAGTAAATGTTGTCAGGGTCCTGCGTTAGTCCCCGCCGGCGGGGCGAGCTCCACGTCGGTGGTCCCCCCACCCGCCCCTGCGGCCCCGGTGGCCCCGCCAGCCCCGGGGGCCCCGCCAGCCCCGGGGGCCCCGCCAGCCCCGGGGGCCCCGCCCGCGCCCGACGCCCCGCCCCGCGAGCGCACGCCGCCCGCCGCCGCTCCAGGTACACATCATACACATGCAAACTATTGTCGTCAGACCAATGCTTCTACATACATATTTATACAATACTAGCTGACCCGGCAAACGTTGTTTTGCCATATACATTATTTCAATTTTTTTTGTCAAAAAAAAAATAGGTGTATGAAAAATAGATGTTGGCCGATTCTCAGACCTACCCAATATGCACACAAAATTTCACGAAAATCGGTCGAGCCGTTTCGGAGAAATTCAACCATACACACCGTGACACGAGAATTTTATATATTAGATATTTTCCTTTCCTCCACAGTATATACATAACATTATATTATTACAGCTCAACCGATGTCTTTCTCTTGGGGTACGTCGGCACAACCTCAACAAACCACCCCTAGAACGGAAAAGGTAATTGATAATCTCTTTTTTTTTTTTTTTATTTTTTTTTTTTTTTTAAAGACAACGCCCGCATTAGGAATAAATCCTGTGTCGCGGGGGACTTTACAAACATACATGAAACGGACACAAAGAACACCCAGACTCAGAACAACAATTTGTGGATCACACAAAGTGTCGTCCCATGTGGGGTTTGAACCCACAACACTCGGCGTAGTAGGAAGCGGCGTGGCGACCGCTTAAACCACTACGCCATCCGTGCAGTCGAAATTATAGTTGATGATATGAACGATCTTGAGCGCTCGGCGGCAGAATGGGGATACACATATGGCAAAGTAAAATGCGTAGTTATAATAAATGTGAATTGATTCTATAATAAGACAAAATGGTTTTAATTAATATTTAGCTGTCTGGTATTAAAATATTATCAAAATAGGTCCAGCCGTTTTGAAGATTACCTGGAACAGACATTAATTTTATTTATTTGTATGGAATATCTTCCTTATATATCTATGTATCAAAACTATTCAAAGGATAATCTTTTCTGTACAAACCCTTTGTTATGTCTAAAGACCAGATATTTTTTATCTGTCTATCTGTTTGTTTGTGCCGGATAATCCTCAAAACGGCTCTACCAATTTTTATAATATTTTACTACCAGGTAGCTGTCTATATAAGGAGTAACTTTGGCCGTTTTTCCTCTCAGGAAAACCCTATAAAATTTTGCCCGGTCCGGGAATTGAACCCTAGGCCACTAGGAACCATACTAAACCACTAAGGCAAAGCTTTTCAAATTCCACGCGAACGAAGTTGCGGGTATAAGCTAGTTTGTAATATTAAACAGTTTAAAAAACCCGTTAAACAGTTAATATTACAAACTAGCTGTTTAATATTACAAATTTATTGCTCTATCTCTAAAGATAGAGTAATAAATTTAACACGTGAAAATTGTAATCATTCTTTACTTACAGCCAAAAGAAAAATCGAAATCAGAGAAATCGTCGATGTCAGCCAGTGGAATAAGCCTCATGAAAAGATTGGCTGCTATGAAGAAATGCAAGTCACCCCCTCCAGCAGGATACAGTATGGACAATCCTGTGTTTGAAGATGGACCTGGAACCTCACTCATGCTGAACTTAGCTCAGCAACGTCATCCTGTGCACGTCAGGTAAGAGTCTACCGCCCTACAACACCTTGCCCCTGACAAATGCAAAACTAAATCTTGAACCCATGTGATTGTAGGTTCATTTTAAAGTAATCCAAATACTTTTCAAAGTAATATATCACATATAAAATTGTTTTTAAGTCACATATATGAGTAGTCCCTCTCTAAAGTCACTAACGAACTTGTGACTTTCAAGTTACAGTGTTCATGGGAGATGGTAGTCACTTACCATAAGACACGTCTGTTTGTAATTAGACTCGACTAGATGGGAGTCGAAAACTGGTTGAGTCGGCCCAATATATATTCTCCCACGGTTCAATAATTATGTTTTGTTATATTATCCCTATATATGTGTGCATCGCCTGTCTAACATGTTTGTTGAATGTTTAACCGTGTGTGTGCTTTAATATATGTTGTTCTAACATCACTCATTGTCACTGCATTTGTTCAGCTGTGTTTTAAACTGTAAACACGATTCGAATATTACAAAACTTGCGTAAATCGAAAACCAAACTCCTCCAAACGTATCCTTTTTTATTGTGTGCGAACGTCTATTTGATGTCATTCTTAATCGAACTGACTAAATCCGCACGGTTTCTGTCAAAAGTTAGGGTATTGTAAGAAATGTAAAACCCAAAAAGAAGTCTTTGAGAACTCCGGTAGAACCTTGGCGAGCTCATAAATAATAGATAACCGCACCTTTGTGTGGATATGTTTAAAGAGTCGCTTCAAACACGTCCATCTTAGGTGGGCTTTTGACAGGGCCACGGGTAGTCTCATCCGTTATTCGCAGGTTAACGTTATTTATAAATTAGATTGTAGAGTATTAGTTACAATTTAAGGTAGCAGTAAACAGTAAAGGAAAATAAAAGAAATATAAAATAAAATTTTAGATACTTGAATAATATGTGTATTCGAGCTTTTACTTTAGACCAATGTTGATCAAGTATTACAATTACTGTTAAAATATACATATAAATGATCAATAAGTTGTATTTTGCTGTTGATAGTTCTATAAAAGAAAACGCGTTCAAAACCGTGCCATAGTCTGAGTAGTTAGCATTTAAGAAGACGTTTAAAAGCAGAAAGTTATGCAGAAACACTAGATCCATTCTTGTTTCTTTAAAACTAATCATAAAATTGGCAGATTTTAATATCACGATTCTGTACACAGAACTTGCTTACGTCGATTTCGGTAATTTAATTTGTATTTGGTTTCGCACGAATTCGTGTCGATAAAATTGTAGCGGTCTAATTTGTGGGTAGTCTAAAACATTCAGGTCGTAAGGAAAGGACTCTATTAGGGCTAGCTCATAATAGTCGGAGTGTAATGTTATAATGTTTCAATATTGGAATCGTGTTGACGGTGGGTGTGTGTGTGGGTAGGTCGGGCTCGTGCCCGTCGCAGCTGCTGCGCGCGCTACCGTCGCGCCACAAGCCCGCGCACCTCGCCCACGACCACCACCTGCTCACCGCTCACAGGTTGTATGTTGCTTATGTTTACACCACTCATACTCTAACCCCATGTGTGCCTATCCTATGTGTTCATCGGATACTATTTATAAGGTCACCGTCGTCGACAGCCTTTAATAGTCCACTGCTGGACATAGACCTCTCCTTAGAAAGGAGGTTTTGGCCTACTAAACCGCTCTGGTCAGACGGGTTGGTATAGGGTTTGTTTCAAGTTTTCCTTCTTTTTGTAGTGCTGTTGTCCTGCGTAGTTTGCTTCATTAGTCGACTCTTACGACACCCACGGGATGAATAAGAATGGTAACACTGTATTCTAAATCCGTCACCACACGGATGGATTCTAAATCCGTCACAACCGTGATATCAATCGGTTTAATTCTATCGAAACATCAGAGGCCTGATTTATTCTACATCAACTCAATCTCAACGGCGAAAAGTTTCTTTATAAATAATATCGTGATCAAGTCCCAATTTACAAATTTTACATCAAATTCATCCGTTCCATTGTACCTACGGGTGGTAGTGCCCCATTTTGTCTTTAACTGTTGCAAGAACCTAAATGTATGTTCTGTGCCGCTCACCATGCTTATAAAATAACGGATTAAATAACGGTTATATTTTATGAGTGTTATACATTCAGGTTTTCAGATAGTAGTTTACAAATAATTAATTCTCATGAAACGATTTTTTATAACCATTCACTGATTCATTGCCAAACATTTATTTTTGTATTTAAAATTTTTGTTCGCTTAAGATTTCATTCAATTAAATATGACAAACTAATAATATTTTTTTCTTGTTTATGTTTACACATGTATCTATTTTTTAAAAACAAGTCATTATTCATTATTGAAAAAAGAAAACCTTGACTGCGTGAAAATGATATACCTACTTAAATTTTATAAACCCACTATGACTTCCATAATTAAGACAAATCTGATGTCACCTGTCAAACCAAAATCCATCAAGTCGCTAAAGGCACAGAATAGTTAACTGTGGTTGGCACAGAGCAAAGCTACGAACCTTGCCAAAAAAATATACATACACCTAAAACCAACCCTCCTTCTGGCGCGTCGGCTAACAAATGTATCTGTACATAGATACATTTGTTAGCCGACGCGACACGATATAAATATATTCGTGCTCTGCGGATACAAATTTACTTCGACTAAATTAATGTTTTGCATTGTAAAACTGCTATTATTAACATGTTTACTGGGTCTTCGATTAACATAATTAATATTTAAAACTATAATTTAATAAGATCTTTTACATCTGCACTTCTTGCTAAGTACACACTTACACTAGTAAACCGCTGTATAGTACATGCAAATGTAAAGAAAATTACGTGATATACTGTCGATAGAAATAAAGGATTCAACCTGAGAAAAAAATTGAAATAAAATTCATTATTAGAAAAAATGTATCAAATTAAAAATAATTTTTACCAAAATTTATTACCAAACGATTGTATGATCTGCAAATATTTGTTTCGAAGTTTGGGTGCGTCCTTTGTATAATATTTATGTATTTACAAAAAAAAAAGTTTTTAGATTGTACAAGCTTTATTTAGTTTGAAACTAGATGGCGTTGTGTGTCAGATGTCCAAAAATATTATTATTATTAACATTCACAACATATTAAAATAAATTATACATAAACGAGAACCGTAAACCTCATTTCTAAGGAGAGGCCTATGTTTAGCAGTGGACTGTTAAAGACTGTTGATGATTCATTAACGATAGATCTAGGCTTACAACACAAGTCGTTATACTACGCTAATATTACATAAAGTGGTTTTCTGGAGTCCAATTCTCGTAATAAAAATTCGGTCTTAATTCAGCTCCGATCAACTTTCGATCATTAAAATATTAACGTATAACTAAGATTAGCAGATTACCGATTCAATTTTCGATTAAAATACGATATAATGACATTACAGTCAACGTTAGATGTTTAATAATTTACTACGAAAATATCTGTTATGACGGTTATGAGATCGAAGTTGATCGGAATTGAATTGAGACCGAACTTTTATTACGAGAATTGGCCTTCTGGTACCCAAAGAAAGATTTAACTTGTGTTATGATTATGATTGCATCACGTATGTGTAAGGCTACAATATTGTATGTACATAATACGTCGTAGGCTGAATTGACGCAATCGAGATATTGCTAAGCTAACAGCCTCGGTGGTGCAGTGGTAGCGTATTCGACTGCTGTGCTGAGGTCTCGGGTTCGATTCCCGGATCGGACCAAATGATGATCTGTAAATATTTGTTTCGGAGTTTGGGCGTTTCCTATGTATAATATGTATGTAGTTACACAAAAATGTAAATAAGTGTATTATCAGTCAATCTAGCTTTCATAGTACAAGCTCTGCTTAGTTTGAAACTAGATGGCGTTGTGTGTCAGATATCCGAAATATTTTTATTATACTGACATGACAGTAGCCTGTCGGAAGCTTCAGTAGAAGCACAAAAATTCATAATTTATATTCAAAATTTAATTAAAACATACTTAATAAAATAACTTTACATATATTAGAACTTTAAAGTGAACATGTCAGGCCCAATCTAAAGTTGGGCACTTCTAATTGTCGCCCGGCTTTTTTTCTACACGCTTAGCCATATTATTATATTGATATCAAAGTAATAATATGACTAAGCGTTTTAAAGTTCTGTTTGGGTTCCTGTTCCGAGAAAGATGTCAGCGTCACAAGAATAAACTCAATCTCAAAATATCTTTATTTCATATCTTGTGTTAATTATTAGAAATCGTCTTTGACTCTATTTGTTTTGTCAAATATTTAGCAAAAGGAAGTTAATCCATTATATGGCCGTGCCGATCTACTAATCAAAAGCTAGAGTCCAAATTAACGATCAGCCTACGACATAAAGACTAACCAATTTATTCACTGTATTTTTACACGCTTTATATTAGCTTCACTTGTATGTTTGTTTGTATGTTTGTAACCGACTCCTTTGGGCGTGATTGTGACTGACTTTAAACGGTCAGAATTCGTTCAAACTTTGTAGATATATCGAGGACCGACGACACTACACTTATTTAAAAAAATAAAATAAAAAAATTATAGTTTTAAAAAACTAAAAAACACGCTTTCTATAGAAAAACAAACTAAAAAATAGAAAATAAATTTGAAAAAAAGCGTGGGGTGCTTTTTACTATTGACAACAGGCACCCAACGCTTTTTTTAAACTATAATTATTATTTTTTTGATACTTAACTCGTTTTGTCCCGTCCCGTGGTCCCGTGGCTGCTAAGCCAGAGGTTGTGGATTCGATTCCCAACCAGGACAAATATTTGTGTGATGATGAGCACAAAAATTTGTTCTGTCTGGGTACACCCAATAGGGTAATAGGGTGTAATTTATCTATCACATGTATGTATTTAGAAATATATAAGTATGGTTATCAGCAGTCTGGTTACCTTAGCACAAGCCCTGACTAGTTTGGGATCAGACTGTCGTTGTAAGATATATAATATAATTAAATTATATATCTTACACTGACGTAGAAATTATTTAGCAATACCGCATTCTATTTGATAAATTATCTAAATCTATGTATTCAAATGTTTCAGAACAGCGACGGAGAATCCTTGGCAATCGCAGCATCGCAAATCGCAGTCGCTAGACGTGACCGCGTCGAGGCGAGACCGGCACCACTCGCAACCCGTCAAAGAGAAGTAAAACACGTTCGAACTTATTTCCTCAAATAAATATATTGATTAACTCAATAAGTTAACCAATATACTTAGTTAGTATAACTTAATAGGCTTAAGTATAATTATTATATATCCGCATTGCTTATTGTAAATTTGTTTTATATTTTTTATTTGGTATTAATGTTTATTATTTATTTATTTTTGTAAATTTAACATAAGTTATTAATGAAATTAATTATTATAAATTGATATGTAATTGAAAATATATATGTAATATATCTCTACTAACTATGTTTAAGTCAATTTATACACCCTATTATATACAAACTTACCCACGGGGCGTATTAGAAGCTTACATTTTTTGACTATAATTTAGGTCCCACTAACGCAATATGTAGGAAAATTGGGAGGACCATGATTGGAAAATGGGAAGGATAGGAAACAAGGTACATCATGTTTGGTAGTAGGATATAGCGCAGCAATGCTTGTATTTAGATCTTCATAAAAATGCAAAATTTGTAAATATATGTACACTTTTTTTTTTTTTATATTTACCCATGATTCGTCTATTTATGCAGTCGATTTGCCCATCCAATGGTTTGCTGTAATTAGTAGCTTTTAGTAGTAATTAGTAGCTTTTAGTAGTAATTGTCCGTGTGGTGACGGATTAAGAATACGGAATGTCATCACCCCTATTCATCCCGTGGGTGTCGTAAGAGCCGACTAAGGGAACAAACTACGCAGGACAACAGCACTGCAAAGGGAAGGAAAACTTGAAACAAACCCTATACCAACCCGTCTGGCCAGCGTGGTATAGTAGGCCAAACCCTCCTTTCTAAGGAGAGGCCTATGTCCAGCAGTGGACTGTTAAAGGCTGTTGATGATGATGATGAGTAACTTGTAAGTTGTAAGAATAATGCTAATAAAACACTGTAAAAAGATGTTTTTCTTCGTCGAGATCGATTTCCGACCCATCATCAAAGGTATCGGAACCATTGTCTATTTCCGAGAGCAATTCTTTAACACTGTATATGATATGTATATTTCTAACTACTAAAATCAAGTGTAATATCTTGTTTATAAACCAAATATCAATTTAAAATCGATGCCTGTTATGTTCTGGTACACTATACCTATACACTATATATATATGCTATCCTCATTATAACATTAGAAAGTCGCCGATTAAGTTTATTATTATTTTCCTTATGTTTAACCTTATGTTTATTATTAGTATTTTTTATTTATTTTTTCAATTTGTTGTAATAGTACATCGCAGGCTACCCTAATTTTTTTGACAATATCCGTATAAAGGTTGTCTGTAAGAGATCGCCGTGAGCGATAAGACCGCCTATTGTTATACCGAAATGTATTTAATATCTGTATAAATAGTACTTCAATGGTGTACAATAAAGAGATAAATAAATAAATAAATAAGTGCATCTCTTTTACTCCTAAATACTATTTTTTATTTTCCTAAGGGGTAACATTGTAAAAGAAACCTGCTAGTTTTTTGCCGTTATCTCTTCTTAGGAAGGGTTTATGTAGATAAATGAAGAAGGTTAATTAGGGTGAAGAAATGGAAAACAGCGCGGAAGTTAGAGTAAGGGACACCGCAAGTCTTGAGTGGAAACTGGAAAGTGCATTCACTGGAAGATATTTGTGTTTCAAACTCGTGTCCTTTTTAGGATCAGAGAGGTGATTGAAACTGGGTAATGCGCTATATTTATACATATATGTATGTACAAGGATAAAGAATATTTGTTAATTCCCTTTGGTAGTTTGTGATGGTTCGGCCAATTTTAAAATGTAAATAAAATATTAATATTATTACATTAAAATGAAGTTGAGAAGTGTATGTAAGTCGTTTATATCTAATCTAGAGGACAGTGGTCCTCGATTTTCATCAATTATGTAAGAACGTTAAGATTGAACACGAGATTCGTTATTATTAAAACACACCTGTTAGCAAAATTTGATCGGTTCCTCCAGGCCAGCAACTCAGGGTTCGCTTTGCCATAGGTTCCGGTGCATCGTGCCGTACCCGCCGAACTCGGAGTACGAGCTGGAGCTGAAGGTGGACGACATCGTGGTGGTGTCGCGCAAGCGTGGCGACGGCTGGTACAAGGGGACGCTGCAGCGCACCGGCCGCACCGGCCTCTTCCCCGCCTCCTTCGTGCAGAGCTGCCCGCGCGACTGACGCACCTCCACCTCCAGCTAAACACTTCGACTACCCGACGTTTCGTCTTCTGTATTTCAAAGTACACAGTTAAAATACGTGTTACGACCCTAGTGTAAACGTGAACGAAAAGAAAACTGGCGAGTGCATATGTGATAAATTACCGTAAGTCACAAGGGTTTTTCTCTAATAGATAATTTATATTTTTCATGATCAATAGTGAAGTTTATTAAATATATTAATTGTTACTAGATAAAATATTTCGATCCTAGCAAAATTTCGTAAACTAGGCCGATTGGAGAGTACTCGAATTTGTTAAAACTTCGCAATGTTTAGTTAGATAGAATGATGCATAGATAAAAGGTAACTCAACGGTCGAAATACGAGCAACTGTACCTACCGACCGAATCGTAATTCTTGAAATGATCTATAACAATAAAAGTCTGTAAAAACAAACTTTATTCCATTTTTGACAACAACCACCACTTACACATACAACATGACAAAATATGACATCAAATTGTTGCTTAATTTCTTAAATCAAATTATAAAACGAACGAACATTGTAAAATTACTTTGTCATTACTAAACATCTATATTCCTTTATTAACTTCGATAACTAGGTGACTTTGACACAGCGACATGACTCCACGGATGGCGTAGTGGTTTACTGCTACGCTGAGTGTTGTGGGTCCGATCCCCACATGGGACGACACTTTGAGCGATTCACAAATTGTTGTCTTGAGTCTGGGTGTTCTTTGTGTCCGTTTCATGTATGTTTGTAAAGTCCTCCGTGACACAGGATATATTCCTAATGGTCTTTAAAAAAAATAATAACATAAAAAAAAACAATTTCTGTAACATTGAGGTCTAGTTATAATTTAGTTAATTCTCTTGTGACTGAATCTTACTGCCACATGTTTTTGTACATACATCTACGTTGATACTGTTTTTGGAAACCCTATATTTTTTAAATAAACAATGTGGGCCAAAAAAGAGTCCATGATAAGAGTATTTTTGTAGTATTAAAATTAATGTATAAAATATGTATAGCCACTGATACTGTAGGCTATCTTGTAGCACTTTGTTATTCGAATGCGTTAATAAATAGGTGTTTGACAACTAGCATGTGACGTCATACGCCTGCTTCTGATGGCAATGTGACGTTCGTTAACATACATAGAGATAAACGGGGTACAGCTGCCTGAAAGTGGAAGCGATACAGGCAACGAGAGAGTTGGATGCCTGATAGTTCCCTCTGTCTCTGTTTAGCTAAGCTGCCATTGGCTATCGTAAAGTGGGCATGGGTTTGATCGTAGAACAGGCGGGAAATTTTCCACGTCAACCACAGAGTTCGCGAGAAAGAGATAGAGGGAACTATCTATTACCCATCTCTCTCGTTGTTTATATTGCAAGATTGGGGCTCTTGTTCACTCTATGCTTATATCTCTATGTTAGCATAAATGGTTTATTTTCGAACATAAAATCTAACTGATGGTCTTCGTTTCCTTGATCATGTATAGTACATTATATTTATTGCCATTTTAATTAAGAAAAACGTGTTATGCATACAAGACTTTATAATAATGAAATTATTGATCGATTTATTTGAAATGAATGCCATAACTCTTGTAACATTAGCGGTTATAAAGCACCTATTCTTTAAATTACACTTGCGTGCATGTAAACTACACCATAAAATGTTATCAAATTAATTCTTATCACTGTGCTAGTTTTATTGCAAGCAAGTGCATGTCTTAGAATCGAAGTAGTTTAAACTAACTTTTTATACTTTTAATTGTGTTTACATTAGGATTCCATATACGCTTACTATTTTTTAACTTTATTTTATTTTTGTTTTTAAGACTGCCATATTATCATTTTTTTATATATCCTTTTCTTTAGTTGTAAGTACAATAGATGTTTTGAAGTAGATAAGTAACAGTAGTTTATTAAAGGGAATAGGTTATTGAAGTATTTATATTATAGTGAAATAATTATTTATATAAATAAATTTCATGATTTTACTTTGATGAAATTAAGACTGTACGATAAACTGTAGTGATCTTAATAACGGTATCGTGTGGTACAAATTATAAGTCTATTTAGGCGTTTTCGTAATGAATCCACACGTTTGATAACTTAGATGATAAAGTTTCTGTCCGTTTTATGTGGTGTGATCTGCTTTTATGAACAATCTATACTAATATTATAAAGCTGAAGAGTTTGTTTGTTTGTTTGTTTGAACGCGCTAATCTCAGGAACTACTGGTCCGATTTGAAAAATTCTTTCAGTGTTAGATAGCCCATTTATCGAGGAAGGCTATAGGCTATATATCATCACGCTAAGACCAATAGGAGCGGAGCAATAATGGAGACTGTTTCAAAAACGGAGAAAATTTATTACTATTGAGAGACGCAGACGAAGTTGCGCGGGTCAGCTAGTTTAGTATAAAGTGAGTACCATAAAGTCCGGGAAAATTTTATGAACGTTATGTGTATTTGTTGTGTATTGTTATTCCTACAAAAGTCCAGACATACTTAGCGTTATATGAAGTTCTAGCTTTATTAGGCTATTCTCGATTTGAACTTTCAGGTTCGTGATATAATTTCTGTATTACGGACTTTCTCGGGTGATTGTGTTGTTTAAAGTTTAATTTATCTTTAAATTGGGGTACAATAGTAGTCATTCTGTCATGTCTGACTTATATAAGGTCTGATCATTTGCATTAGAATCACTCTACAAAATAAACAAAACCTTAAAAAAGAGAGCGTACTCCTTCCTAAAAGGCGGCAAAGCGTTTGTGACTCCTGAGTTGCAGACGTTCATGGGTGGCGATAGTAACTTTCCATCAGGTGACACGAATGGTCGTCTGCGCCCTCTTAAATAAAAAAAAAAATAAACTAGGACAATGGTGTATGACGTCACATTTCATTATTATCAAATCGCTAACAGTGGGATTATTAATTGTAAATCATTATTTTATTTTTATATATTTTTTTATGTTAGAGGGGTCTAACATAAAAAAAGAGAAATAAACAACATCATCATCAACAGCCTTTAACAGTCCACTGCTGGACATAGGCCTCTCCTTAGAAAGGAGGTTTTGGCCTACTATACCACGCTGGCCAGACGGGTTGGTATAGGGTTTTCGTCAAGTTTTCCTTCTCTCTGCAGTGCTGTTGTCCTGCGTATTTCGCTCCCTTAGTGGGCTCTTACGACACCCACGGGATAAATAGGGGTAGTGGCACTCTGTATTCTTAATCCGTCACCACACGGAATAAACAATTAAGCAGCTATTATTGCTCCACAACCTACAAACAAAACTTCAATCTCTGTTTATAAAAGCCAGCAAATAGTCTATGTCAAAGTGTTAGCTCCGTAACCAAAAGGACACAGAAATATAGTTATATACATGTACATTGCACACATAATTAAAAAAAAGTCAGTAAGATACAAAAAATAATACAGTTTTACAACGAGCAATCACTGGCTGCGGTCTCATACAGACATCTTTTGGATAGACACTACACAGTGTTAAAAAGCTTTTCTGTAGCTTGTGAATCTTTTTTGAACCTTAAGTACTAATATTTTTGGCTAAACTATTATTTCCATCAAGGAAGAATTTAATGCCTTATTTCTTTAGTTTGCAATAAAAGAAAAACAAACACATGTTTTAGTAATATGCATGTTTAGGTATAAGGAACAAAATAAATATTTTAATATTTTTATTTCAATAAAATTTAAAAGGCTAGACATAACGTTTCTAAAATTTGACCATTCTATCTGTATTCTGGCCGTCAGGTCTAGGCATACACATAGTCATAGAAAAATTGTACATTATGAAACAGAAATTAGCATCACGTAATAGTAAGTTGGACATAAAGCGACTATCGCACCGAATTAGAACCGACTTTTGACTGTAAATATTTTCACGTTAACTCTACAATGACGCCATTAAAATTAATTATATGTTTTAAGTAATTTGTTGTGAACTGATTTTTGAACGTATTTATTTTATTTGATAATTATGTACCTTAGACACTAAGTACCTTATGTAACAACGAAAGTTTGTTGAATGCTCTTCTCCGAAACTGGGACACAAATATTGTTCTGTAGTTATCGTAAATTTAAAATAAAATATAAATATTCAATTTAATATTTTGTATTTTTATAACCTGCTCTTTTTTTGTTCTTGCAACACTGCCTTCGATTGATTTCGATGTTGCAAGTGTAAAAAATGGCGATACCATTGAGTCGACTGTTGTATATTTTACCTATTGTTGTGCGTGGTATTGTATCTGTCATAGAGCGACTCTTGTGGAGCAAATTTGTGTCCAACATGTTTTGTATAATGTGCGCTTCTATTATATATTTTAAGTGAATCATATCGAAGTTATAAATAGGTGATTTCGAAAAGAATTAAAATTTCTTCGTAACATACTTGTGTTTTTGTTTATTTAATCTATATTTTAAAATACCAATTTCAGAAAAGAATGCTACTTTTTATTCCTAAAAAAACTTAAAGGAGCTGACTGCACGGATGGCGTAGTGGTTTAAGTGGTCGCCACGCCGCTTCCTACTTCGCCGAGTGTTGTGGGTTCAAACCCCTCATGGGACGATATTTTGTGTGATCCACAAATTGTTGTTCTGAGTCTGGGTGTTCTTTGTGTCCGTTTCATGTATGTTTGTAAAGTATATATTCCTAATGCGGGCGTTACCTTTTAAAAAAAAAAGAAAAAGAAATAGGAGTAAAAACTTCCTGTAGAGAGTTTCTACACCTTATTAAATTGCGGGCACGAGCTATTATAATAACCCCCGTTTCTTGTGTAATCATACCTAAATACAATAACCTATATGTAGCTAGTAATAAATAAAAAATACCATATTAAATTTCTTCGAGAACTTTATGACATAATGGTGTATGACGTCACATTTCATTATTATCACATCGCCAACAGTCTGATTAATAATAGTAATTTATTATTCACTGTTAATAAGTGTAATAGTTGCTTATTATAATGCCCATAGAGGGGAGGAAGGTGTCGCCTGTGACGTTGCTCGGTGAAAGCAACGAAGGAATTGCTTGCCCATTTGTACCGTAGGCCTACCACGTGTTGTACTTTTGATACATGCATATGTGGAGGAACGGGTGTCATGTCCTTCCAACAGAAAGGGAAGATGCTCCGACCAGGCGAGGTGATCATGCCTGGCGGGCCGCAGCCCAACGGTTGATGTTGGGAAGTTATATATACTAATCGGCGAGAGAATTCTTCATATCGCGATACAGGATTAGCAATTCTCGTTCAGGAGTTACTCCACAGTTCACTGTGTCTTCGTTAGATGGCGCTGTAGTATGTTTCTGCGTTTCATTCTACCTTTTAAACTTTTATTTAAATTGGTAGTGGTCATGCTGCGGAGTATTCATCATAGTATAAGCAAATACATAGTATCAAATAATTCTAAAACAATTCTATATTAAACTAGTACCACCAAATCCTCAATCAATGTCAAATTAGTTATTAGTAGGTATAAGAAAGTTTTCAGCAAAATAATAAGTCTAAGTTGTGAAATATGTTCTAAAGATTCAGATGGTGGCACATGATCGCGCAGATAGACACAGAGATCAAGACAATGTTGACGGCAGACTGCCTGACTGTAAACCTAATGGTAGAAAATGTAAATGAATGAAAATAATAATATTTATATTATATAGACATGGATCAGAGAGTGTAGTAATAGCTCTAGCAGTTAAGTTAAATAATCTGGCAGCCCCGGATCTAGGGAGGAGGCGGGGCAAAGCGCCCCCCTCGGGCGGCAATGCCAGGGGGCGCCAAAATCATAATATAGTATGATTAAAAATAAAAAACTTGTTCCACAAAGCGCCTAGCATACGGAAGCCTGGTTCGCTCACCGTCGACTTGTAAGAAAAAGGCGCCACACAGGACCACACCACAAGTGAACTTAAATATTTGTAAGTCTTTTTAAGTAATTTATCTCAAACGCTGGAAAGAGCGCTTCTATCAAGTTTCTGCCCCGGTTCGATAAAATCGTTGATCCGGGGCTATAATCTGGTATAAAACTAACACCAATCTCATTTTTCATGATCTATGGACATTTTTTTTTATTTATTGCTTAGAATAATTTAAATTAAAAAAAAAGTATTGGCATCGGTTCACGGATGGCTAATTTGGAACGAATAAAATAGATTTTCCGTAACATACAACAGTCGAAATCATAATTCAATTAAAAATAATTAAAGTACTTTGACCAGTCTAGACTACCACTAGTATCATTAAAAACCTACAAGTGTTACTCGTATATTTACTTTATTAAATTATATTATCAAAGTACATTATCGTGTAACTCAAAGTTCATCTCGCACAAGTTTCAACATTTCGTCTTCATCGTCGCTCCACTGCTCAGGGTCCGTAGCCACTTTGGACATTGCCTCCAAGCGCCGTTCCATCATAACCTGATCCAAGATATGCTCCATCTTCATATGCATGCAGTCGTTGAACACCGAAGCGTATTCACACACTTCGAAAAGCCCCTCATTTTCAACCGCTTTTGAACACTCCGCTATTGCGGCCTTCAGCCTCGCCATCACCTCGCTATCTTCACCATAAACTTCTCTGTTCAACTCCAATAAGCGTCCTTTATCTATCTTGTTATTCTTTATGATAGCATTTCGCTTCAAAATGCATGCGACGAAGCATTTCCCTTGCATCGAAGACTGCGGTATCCTCTTCAAAAATTTTTCAACATCAACCATCTCGGCTTTGACTTGGCGCGCGCATTCAGTTAAATTCCTTCTGAATGGTTCCACATCGTCCGTCATTTTCTCATATCGCTCAATATGCTCTTCTTTTGTTAGAGGAGTAAAAGATATGGTTAGATAAAATGCCATGGTGAACAATATGAATAATATTGCTGCGAAGACATTGCTGATAGAACGTTGCATTTTAGCGTGCGCCTGCGTTTGCGCCGACCTCCGCTTGTTGTAAGTTTTCATGTCACTCTAACGGCGTGGATGTTAATTGGCTGTTAGTACCACGTAATCCTTGTTATGTTACAAGTGAACTGATTTTGTGGTCGTTAGAAAATGTTGGGCGATAAGTAAGAGACCAAGTTACTAAAGTTAGGTCATTTGCACTGAGAGATGAAATACAGTTCTATGTATTACTGAAGTAATCGGTCTCCAATAGGAGGGAATTTAAGCCAAATCCCCAGAGCACTTGAGCAACTATGCCAACAGAAAGTTATTTCGATGTTAAGATATTCATAGCCAATTTTAATCTAATCAATAACATAGAGAAAAAAAGAAGTGACTTTTGGCAACTTTTTAATGGAAGAAAGAATAAAACTTCAAATATTTCAATGAAAATGCAAATTTCATAAATGTTCTTGTTTATTTAAAAAAGTAATATTCGCCGAATTCAATGTCAGAGGCAGAACTTCAGCGTTGGTTGGTACATACTCGTATTATGACGCGCAGCACTGATACGCGTAGGTGGATTCTACGTAGGTTTAGTCGTGTATTTGAAGGCTGTAGAAAGCTTAACGTTGCCGCTTAAGGTCTATGACTGGCCATGACAGTTGTTATTTCTGTACAATATATCTGTAATTTGTTTGTCTTGTTGAATGCAGGTATCTATAATATAATTTATATCAATTAAGTTATGCGTGTTGGTAGAGTATTTATATTTTATTGTTTACTTTTCGCAGCTATATCCTATGGCTATACGTTAATAACTAATTAGTGACAAATCTTCAAAAACATAATAAATGTTAAGTTTGATATAATAGAAAATAGTAATGACAATATTAAATGAAATACGAAACAAGAGAGTAACTGTTACTGTTAGTGATGAATTATTAAATCTAATAATAAGTTAACGAATAATTTGAATTTTTCACTTTCAAGAATGTGAATTCCTTCGTATATCGTTGCTTGCTAATGCGATGTCAAAATATTGCGAATATTCACCAATACAAATATTCGTAACATCTAATCTGCTCATTCTAGTTTAGTTTTATTTTTACACGCTTTATATTAGCTTCACTTGTATGTTTGTTTGTATGTTTGTAACCGACTCCTTTGGGCGTGATTTTGACTGACTTTAAACGGTCAGAATTCGTTCAAACTTTGTAGATATATCGAGGACCGATGACAATTAAAAAAATAAAAATATATAGTTTTAAAAAACTAAAAAACACGCTTTCTATAGAAAACCAAACTAAAAAATAGAAAATAAATTTAAAAAAGGGTGGGGTGCTTTTTACTATTGACAACAGGCACCCAACGCTCTTTGTCAAATTTATTTTCTATTTTTTTTAGCTGTGCACTTGGATGATACCTATGCATGCCTAATCGGGTAGCTCAAAGTTAAAATGTAGCTCAAATCAAAGAAACGCGTTTAAAAAAGTCATAAAAAATCCATTGACATATTTATTCTCGTTAAAAAGTAGCGCAGACTAGAAATCTCGCACCTGTAACGTAACCATTTGAGGCAGTTAGCGATATCGTAGGTTGGTAATATAATATATTCGCGGTATTTCATATGTTTTATGTTTAGATATTTCTTCTCTTTAATTGTAATCCAATATATTGACCAATAAATACATACATACATCATACCACAACAATTTCAAGCCAGCGAAAGCACATAGAGCATACCTACCTTATTTCATCAACTTGATTCTTTATTAAAGATCTAAGAACATATCCTGTGTCTATTGAGTTGCAGGCGGCCAAAATAATCACTTATCACTTACTAAATAGCTATTGTGTGGTTATTTAAAGTACGTTTTCACGCATTGAGTTAAAACAACACTAGAGAAGCAAACCTCATTATCACACGTCGAAAAAAGTGTAACCACTTTTGAACTTTGACGACGTAGCTTTGATACCACTAAACATTTGAAAGTAAACATATTTATGTCTCATTTACACGCGAGACAAGAACAATACCATCGCTCGGATTAGACAAAGACAAAGATATAACTTTACGATGGTGGGCCAGTGTTGACTACCGTATGAAATTTTACCCATAACAACTAAGAAACAATTTTTTTTTAAAACAATTTTGTAATAAAATAAATTAATTTAAATATTCTAAATAATATATTTCGAATTGAATAGAATAGGTATAAATAATAAAATAACTGGAAATATTTGGTTAAAAGGGTTTATATTCAGTGTAAAATCAAACTGCGCTGTGAAGCATCAGTTTTGTATACAATTGTCTTTTAGACTCTTTTTTATAAGTTTGTGTGGATATTTTACTTTCATGATACACTCTTATTTTTACGTATGTAAAAATAATAGCATTTAATAATAAAAGTGAATGATCAACTTGTACTGATAATAAATAATCCCCAGGGTGTATTGCAAATTCTATTATAATTTAAAAAACAAATAAAAAAAAATATATTTTATTTTTATTTTATAAAAAAAATTATTTATGTTTATTTACTTTTTTATTTTATATTTTTATTTTTATGATAAACATTTATTATTATTCTCTTTATTAAATTTTATATATACATAATAATTACATTTTTAAATATATTACAAAAGAAATAAAAATACATTGAAAAATATAAAAAATAGTAGACCACCGACATCGGGTACAGGTACCAGGATACCAGTGGTTAGGACTGCAAAGATAGGAACCTCCTCACTATACGAGCCGTGTCAAGGAGGACTGCCTTCTGTATCTTATTATTATTATTATTTTGTACAATTATTATTTAAAATTGATAATAAATTAAGAAAAACAATGAATTAATTTTTTTGTACAAAAGTCTCCAGCACTGCGAGCTTGGCACTTCTGCCAAGCTCGCAGTGAACTTTTAACGGGTCCCTAAAAAAAGGGATCGGTAAAGCCCTAACAACTACCGTTCTTCCTATATTTTATTATTATTGGCAAAATGTTTAAAAACAGTATAAAGCATATTATTTCATAAATTATAAATTCTCCCACTAATGTAGGAAAACCAAAATGATTTTTTAATGGTAACACTGATTCTAAATTACAATTATCAGTGTTTTATTTCAATTATAGCCTTATTTACGATATTATCAATACAAAAACCATAAACTTACACGTGAAAAGTAATTCCGCATGATTTATTAATGTTTTGTGACCTTGAACCGCATTCTTTCACTACGCATTTAGCCATTTTGGCGATTGTTACTGTCATGTGTCGCTATGTTCAACTCGGTTGACGCCACATTGAATAATGAATTGACGTTTGCTACGCTTATGCCTGTGGACATATGTGCAGTAGCAACGATTTTAGGCGGTAATTACTCATCTATGTAAGTATTATATCAATGTTTTCACGTATGTGACATGTCGCCAAGGACGCGAAAACGCATACCTATCACTGCGCATCGTTTCCCGCCTTTTCGTCATTAAACGGTTTTGTGCCACTCGTTAACTGTAATACGGTTAAGTTAAAAGGCGAGTAATATATTGAATTGTAACCCACTTTCCCATTAAAGTGATATAAATGGCGGCAGACTAATTTGCTGTTACTTACGACGCATTCAGCTTTGTTGTTCTCTAGACATACTATTATCATTAACCTTGATATTTACCAAGTTGGACAAAGTACTACAATAAGTACTAATAAGCAAATAAGTGTCTGCAAACTTGTTTTGATGTAGAATAATTCGTGTCTCAGTAATAGCTCTATTATAGCTATTTTGTGGGAATTTACACAGTACGTTTTTACGTATGTGACTAGTTATTATTATTATTACCTATTTATGGCTCGAAAAATAAAGTAATTATTTCGAAATAATTAAAGGATTACCTATATTACTAATAATCGATGTTTTTCGAAGAAAATTATGTTCTTTGTATAAAGATCATTAGTATTTCTAATTTTAATTGGTAGATATTTAATAATTGACAGTGAGATGACGGATTAAAAATACGGAGTGTCACCACCCCTATTCATCCCGTGGGTGTCGTAAGAGCCGGCTAAGGTACCAAACTAAGCCAGGACAACAGCACTGCAAAGATATGGAAAACTTGACACAAACTCTAACCGACCCGTCTGGCCAGCGTGGTATAGTAGGCAAAAACCTCCTTTCTAAGAAGAGGCCATTGTCCAGCAGTGGATATTTAAAGGGTATTTACGATAATGATATTTAAAATAGTAATAATAACTCGAGACATCTCACACACGGCCGCCTGATTCCAAATAAGGCAGTGCCTGTGTTTTGGGCTGCGGCAATGAGACGGCCATATATATTTCTAAATACATACATATTACAGAAAAATTACACCCAAACAGTTAGTCTTGGGTGGAAATTTAACCGGTCTCTAACGACTAGACCGACTGGCCTGTCATATTGAAATTGTGTATAAATAACTAGCTGACTTGCGCAACTTCGTCTGCGTCTTTCAATAGTAATAAATTTTCTCCGTTTTCGAAACATTCTTCATTGGTGCTCCGCTCCTATTAGTCTTAGCGTGATGATATATAGCCTTCCTCGATAAATGGGCTATCTAACACTGAAAGAATTTTCCAAATCGGAACAGTAGTTCCTGAGATTAGCGCGTTCAAACAATCAAACAAACAAACTCTTCAGCTTTATAATATTAGTATAGATTAAATGAGTCGTCACTTATGTCTGTTATAATTTATAAATTCACGTCACACGCACAATCACACGCAAACTAATGACGAAATTGTTTTATAACTTATAAAACAATTTCGTCATTAGTTTGCGTGACAAGCAAAAACTTGCCACAGATAAAAAAAATCCAGAATGCACAACGATTTTATTGGCGAATATATTACCCTACTTTACGCATTCGATAAAAACTATGTATGTTTTGTAATCGTTGTTATAACTATTGCTTTAATAAAACAACTATACTAGTGTAGTTCTTTTTAATGGTTTTATTTCACGTTAGGTTTATTTCTAACGAAAAAAGTGTGCCAATTTTTAGATAAAAATCCGCTCCACAAATTTGACAAAAAACAAACAGC